AGCCCACAGGACATTACGCCTGCCCAGAGAGTACATATTTGCTACAAAGGTGTTGTCACGAAACTGGGGGTAGTGTCCTAGCAGGATTGCCCTCCAGTCCCAAGGCCATAATGACCCTGGAACGATGTGCCGCCAGATCCTATCCCACCATCGCCATAACAAGACAGCTGCAGGACATTGTAGGAAAATGTGCTCAACCGTCTGAGGGCGCTTTTTTCCGGGGAAATTTTGGCGGCAACCCCGGCACCAGGGGAGCGCCCTTCCTTGTTGTTTGAGCTGTGTATGATCAATCAGCCAGTCATTGGTCGGCAGGCAACGATGAGTAATTTGCCATTGAAGAACGGAGATTTTTGCCGGCCTTTTCTTATACTCGCTGAACCACTGGATAGATTTGAGTGTGCTTCTATCTACATTAAGATGGCGCTTCCATCTGTCCTCCACCACGTCTCGTAGCCTACGCTTGGGTCTGAGCATTCGGTAGACCGACTTCATTTTTAGGGAAACTAACTGGACCGTTCTTTCCTCCCCCCGTCCTCGCCTTCCCCTGCCTTTCCACGACCATCGCCATTCTTGGGGATCAAAAGGGAGGTTCTCAATCGGGGTCATTGGACGATACGCTCTTCAACCATTCCCCTCTTCGATCACCCTGATGCGATAGACTTCTGATTTTCTTTTCCAGATGAAAGGTTGTCTACTCCCTTGTAGCCGCCCTGTTTTTGTGACAGCGTAGCATTCAATTAGGACTTGTCCTTGGTCCACTATGTGCACTCGTCCTATTTGTGATTCGTGACCAGGTAGCCCCACCCAATCCTCCTCTTCCAACGTTGGACCTTTCTTAAGCCTGGTGTACCATTGGATGGGGAAACTTTCAATAAGTTCTTTTATTGTTGACTCTAGTGAGTGGCAGAAACGCAAACATCTTTTCATTCTTGCTGCATTTTTCCATTCTCCGCTTTCCACATCCCATAGGTCCCCCACCCTCAGCACCCCATGTTTCGCCCAAATTTTCCATGGGGAGTCCGAGCTGTTCCTTACCTGGCCGAGGGAGTCTCTGATTAATCTATTGCCAAACAGCGGTTGCATGATTATCTCCTCCCATCTATCCAGGGCGGTTCTCTTCAATTCGCAAAAACTGAAGAAAAAAAAAAGGAAAGGTAATTTGAGACCACCTCCGAAGGTGGTCTCAAAAAAGGTATGCCCGCGGTCCCGCAGGCTGCTGACAGAAGGTCACAGTTTGAGGCATTTGGGTAGCGAGCCTCTCCAGTGTGACCCGAAAAATGACAAAATTTTGGGATTTTGGGTCTTTTGGTCCGCGTGTGAGGGCATACGCACACGAGGGCCTAAATTCCAAAATCCCTTCCCCCCAAAAAAAGGGAAAATGCTGGTCACACGGATCTACTAAATTCGCAAATGTACTATTCCAGTGCCCATTTGTCAGTGGCCTGGAAAGCTGTGGGGCAAGGGATTTTGTGGTCACCTCGGGAGGTGATCGCAAATGCCCTATTTTTTTTTTTGCATTTTCTTCAAAAATTGGCAAAAATTTGTTCACAGATGTTCTTCCACAATTTGTGGATGGCGCACTGTGACCAGCCAAGTACCAAATCCCCATTTTTCCAGACGGCCGCGACCTTGTCCCATCTGAAAAAGTACAGCAGTGTGACGTGAACCATGCCCAAAACTGCAAATCGATCCTTCCCAAATCCGCATATTTTGCGGATTTGGGGTCGCTGTGTGAGTATGCCCTCACACTCGGACTATCTGGATGTATAATACGACACTCACTGGTTGCACCAGACCGCAATTATATCCAGAATTGAGTCCCAAAGGTCATCGTGCGAGCATGCCCTCTACGTGCTTTATCTGTAGCCTATTGTTAATTTGCCTTGAATTTTCTTCGTTGGTGTATAGCGCCTCGTGATACAGAGAGGCTGGATGGATTGCTCTTATTGTAAATTAACTGTCATGCATTTTCAGCAGCCATAAATGTGCTGAGTATTATTAAAAACTGTAATATAATACTATGTACTCTAGCCTAGAACATAAGACTTTAGTTTTTCTTACTGCCATCTCGATTTCCATTACTCCGCTAATAAAAGTGTCCATAAATCAGCACTACCAGTCTCTACGACCCATTCAACGTTTTTTTTAGACCTGAATTTCAAACTTGAAGCTTTGATTTCTATTATTAGAATTTCTCAACTCCTTGTTGATCTTGTGAGCTGACATTTGACTCCAAAATATATATTATGCAGTAATTCTTACGCAATCATGGACTTAAGTCTTCTTGATAACAAAAAAACTTTACTCTAGGAAGAGGGAAAGAAGTTCGAAGAACGGGTAGAGCGGGGTAGGGCTCCGATAGAGTTCTGTTCTAACCCCACCTACCCCCGCTCTAGCCCCGCCCTACTTCTTTTTCTCCCTGTCTAACAAAAGGGTGAGTGGTCGGGGGCTGCGGATGATGAGGACTAAGCCCCGCACTCAGAAACGAAAAAAAAATAAAAATAGAAACACCTGTTTATGCCCCTACATCCCTGAACATCCCTCCTGTACAACCATCAACACCCTCCTCTCTACCCCCCCCCAACACCTCGCCTCCTATCCATATAAATCTCTCTCTCTTTCTCTCTCTCTCTCTCTCTCTCTCTCTCTCTCTCTCTC